TGTAGCGAATTGGACGCGGCTCTTCAAAACGGAGAGTGGTTCTGTCCCCGTACCGATCATGAAGGCATTCGGCTAAATAAAACAGGGAAAATTGCGTACGAGATGGCTCAGTGTTACGCTTCGTTCTCATTCTTTAAGGAATAATGCATTCATTGTGTTACCCAAAAGGTTCGTGATTACCAATTATTTTCGGGAGGCAAGGAGATGACATTTCACTACTGTAGCCATCGGGGTTAAAAGCTTTCAGTTCGTAAACACATCACTCAAATAGTTATACTACTACGATGTTGCTACTTCACAAATTTGACAGATAGAGTTCTTTCCATCCATTGCTTCATCCAATAATCCAATACACTTTATCCATTGCCGTTCCATTGCTTGTGTATACCGTTTCCAAATTCCATTGCATACCATACTCTCCAATTTCTCTATTCCTGTCAATTCATGATGCAGTCTCGCATCGTAGGGCTCTAATCTCTCTCAACACGTAATTCATGCACGCCACAAGGTCTCAGTTACCAAATGCTTCCAGGGGCTTGTCTCTGGTTCTGGTTCACAACTCCAGATCCAATAGTACCTCCTCCAATGGTGCCCATTGGCTGGCCTCGCAAATTGGATTGAAGATTTCCTTCCCAATACTGACCTTGAGAAGCATTTGGATTGCGACCCACAGAACCGAATGCATTATCTTGTTGTGTAGCATAGGAGCCTCCACTAGTAGTGATGTGTACTCCAGGCAACAAACTCTGCAAAAGCGCAATATCACTCTTGTTGCCGTTTCCTCCGATTGGACCTCCTGGGGGCATGGGGCTAGGTCCTCCAATGGTGACACCACCAATGGATCCATTTCCATTGCCGTGTGAAATACCAGGGCCGCCAATGACACCACCGCCTACGGCAGCCGACGAACCATTCAAGGCAGAGATGGGAGCCTGTTGTGAACCAGGTGTAGGACCCATCCATTGACTAGTAGATTCGTGAAGCGAGCCAGAACCAGTCGGGAGACTAATCCCAAGCATCGAGGCAAGAGCAGAGCTACCATTAGAGTGGTTACCTCCTCCAATGGCTACACCGCCAATCTGTCCATAATTCGAAGAACCGGGCATCGATTGATGGGCGCCGCCAAAGAAACCACCAGAGTTTGAGGGCACGACAGGATCGCCTCCCAAACCAACTGAGTTCCACTTGTCCATGCCAGCTTGGCCAGGAGCTCCAATCGGTGCTGACTTCAAAGGACCATTGAATACTTCACCACCCAAACCTCCAAGGGCGTCGCCTCCGAGTTCGGAAAGGCGGCCAGTGGTATTATTGACAGGTGGTGTGGGTCCTCTGGAAATGGGATTGCCCACTGGAATTGGTGCTGCAATGACAGTACCTCCAATGCCTCCAATTCCAACTTCTGGACGCGATCGATTCGAGACAGGAACACCTGCTGGCGGAGCCATGGGAATGGCCGCTGAAGCACTGACAGCACGAGCTGTGGCTGGTTTGCGAGTTCCAGCCGCGCGAAGTGATGTCAGTTTGGTGGTTTCGCTTGCCTTGGAAGAAGATCCAGTCGAACGCTTGAGCGGTGTGAGCGGTGTCAAGGTCGTGTGTGGTGCTGGGGGTTCCAAGCTTGTCGACACGCTGTGGACACCAGCAACTACTGAAGCTGCCGATACAGCGTTTGGTACTGGTGGTGCTGAGATACCGGTACTGGCCCTGCGCGGTGGCACTGGAGGAGCAGCAACAATCGAGCCCTTGGATTTGAGTGCTGGGCCACCACCACCGATGGAACCCTTAGGTATAGGCCCCCCTGACATGGATCCAGTAGACCCAACACTGCCACTGGATGATGATCGAATCACCTTGCCAGGGCCAGCAGGAATTGGTCCAGAAGCATTCACTTGGGCATTGGCCGCTGCAATTGTTGGGAATGCAGCTCCAGACGACAGAGAGCGACCCGGTGCCAACTGAGGCGATGGGACCTGGGTACTGACTGCTGGCTTGATTGGTTCATCAAAGGATGGAGGTGGGAAGACAGGGTTTGTTCCTGCTTTTCCGGTTCCAGATGGTCCACCGCCACCAACCTTTCGACGTGACAGTGCACCACCAGTGGCAGAACTAAGCGCTTGTTGCACAATCTCTTGTTGGCGTGCAAGGACGTCTCTGCCACTAGTGACATATCCCGCCTGAATTTCTTGTTTAGTGAATGTATCTTCTGCGTCACCCATGGTATGCAGGTAGGTACATTCTGGATTATTACATCTAACATTCTTGATGAAAGCAGAACAGTATTTTGAGGTTCCGTAGGAAGCACGAACACTTCTTCCTTCTATATAAAATCCATCCAGCGCTAGAATGCAAGCAAGGGTATCCTCCTATCAAGGCAACAAATTTGGAAGAAAAATGTCGTTAGCATTGGCCAAAATATAATATAGCTTTTCACCATCCAACAACGACAACAACAACAACTGCAGCAGCAGTAAAAACAGCATCAACAAAAGAAAGTACATACCTTGTAAGTGAAGGTGACATACGCTGATGCACTCGCTCGTCTCGGATCTGCTGCTGTCGCCTGACTCCGATTCAGTACAATCTTGGCAATCTTTCCATATTGTCCAAAATAGTCTGGCTTTCGCAAAATCTCCTCAGTGGCCATGGCAATGGGAAGTCCCACAGCGTACACCAAGTTTCTCCGAATGACCCTCATGTTTGCCAGTTGACTCCTATCCCTGGGAACATCCATTTGTCCCTTCATTCCAGCCAAAGGCAAACCTTCCCCGTCCAAGGAGTTTCCATCGTAGTTGCTATTTCGCTTTTTCTCTCGCTCGGCGGCTTCTTTTTCTCTCTTGGCCTTTAGCACCTCCTCTACATCGACGGCAGAAAACTCGTGCGGATCATCTCCGTACGGTGTTCGACAGGCTGGACATAGGCCTGACTCTTGCTCTTTGATGCGATGCCAACACCACATACATACTTGATAGCCGCATTTGCACGGATAAAACTGTTGATCGGAAATGTCCATTTCTTCACAACATAGGGGGCATACATATTCGCTCTACGAGTAAGTCAAAGAAGAGCAAATGGTGAGTCCTACTGCAGGACAGTGTCGGCAACAATGACAAGCACAATATATTCCAAACATGCATGCTTCCATGGTGATCTGTGGGCGACAATTTAGTGATTGAATGCAATCGTGTTGAATTTGTTTCCCCTCTCCTCCAAGGCAAATGCTTAAAATAACAATGTTCTCATCCTATTGCAACTTGTATTGACTTACATCGTCCATCTTTTATGTGAATTGTGTGCTTTTATATATCTTTTTCCTACGGTAGTTGTTGTCTATTTGTGTTTTATTGTTGGAGGCAAAACCAATGTCGTCGAACGTGGGTTCTCTTCGTGCTGCACACATAGTGAGTTCGTAGTAACAACAAGGAGCTGTCCTGCGCACGTGTGTCGCAGCGTTGCACCACACCCGAAGTTCGAAGAGCCGGCCTTAGTCGAAGGAGTCACATATTGGACAATGCGCAATCCAAAAATCATCACAG